GCATCAAGCAGTCGGCCAGCGGCACCAAGCGCCGCGTGTTCATCATCGAGACCATGGGCGGCTACTGCGGCTACCTGGCCAACATGGGGGCCCTGGCAGCAGGAGCTGATGCTGCTTACATCTTCGAAGAGCAGTTTGATATCAGAGAGCTCCAGGTATTCAGCACCTTTTGCCCATTCTTAGTAGATCTAAAGCTGTTGTACGTGTGTATCATAATGTGTATACTTGAAGTAGATGGCTCATGAAAGAAAAAACAGCTGAGGTTGGGCCTAAAATCTGTGCTTGTCATGCCAGTTCTGTGCTAAAACATTATATAAAGAACTGTAGACACAATCAGTGGTGATACCCAAGTTCAGTAAAATGACAAAAATAATTGTATTGGCAATTAAGCACTTACAAGATTGTTTCATTTGTAGTCTTCTGATTAAAATTCAAATTAAATGGACATGGGTAGTTGTAAAATAAAGCCAAAAACAAGAAAACAGTATTTTTTTCATTATGCTAGAGTTGTGTTTAAAGGCTGCTCAGGACAAGAACTGACTGGTACGGCAGGTTTATTAGATACTGACTCTGTTACCACAGCTATTCAGAGCATGTCTGGAGGTGTTACTAAAATAAAGCCCTCAGGCTTTAAGGATTACAGATTATGTTGTAGTACATACACAAGCCAATATAGAACTTGTCTGTTGTGAGGACTTTATACTTCTGAGATGGTTAGTGTTTGCTGCAGTCATGGACAAACACAAAGATAAAAGGATAGAAATTTCCTGAGAAGCAGAGAGATGTGAAATGAATCAGAATTTATCCCCATGCAGTTGTTGGCAGGACTGGAACTAAGGTCAAGCTGTAAACTTCAGTGGCAATTTCTGTATTTTTATGTATATCAAGCTGGATGCTGTACCAGTATAGCATATAAAAACCTCCTTTGATTTAATAAAATCAATTACTTCTGACATAAAGAAAAAGGTTAGTTTTAACCCAGGATGAATAGACATACACAGTAAGTTTTCTTGCATCTCCAAAAATCTTGATAATTTGAATTCGCTTTATGTGGAATATTTGGCAGAAGTTTTCAGGAAATGTAGGCTCATTAAAGTTGTTTCAGATACAGAGCTCTGTATGAATCTTTAAAAATACTTTTGTTTCTAGGCTAATGTGGAACACTTGACTGAAAAAATGAAAACCAGTATCCAGCGTGGTCTAGTGCTGAGGTAGGTAAAAGTAGTTGTAATAGATGGCATCAGTGATACTGAGCATTCCCAGCCAGGGAGGCTGCTTGGCTATTTGGAATGACACTCCTAGTCTATATTCCCTGATTATTTCTTTAACTTGAGATTTTTAGAAAAGCTGTTGCTCCAAAAGGCAGTTCAAGTCCAAAACTTCTTTCTGTGTGAAGATATTTGCTCTGTAATCTAATACTTCATCCTCCTTTTCAGTCTGTTTTCTTGTTGGGTTTGTCTTTTATTGCAGATTCTTTTTTACTAAAGGTAGTGTGTCACACTATGGCCTTTACTATAAAAACCTTAAAAATCATGAGCCTGTTACATGAAGTGAGTGTATGTGATCAGGTGAAAATGTCCATGCCAGGATTACTGCTATCAAGAAAAAAAGACTTGGCATTCAGTAGCTGCAAAGACATCCAGTGCTTTAATTTGCTAACTATCTGGCCCTAATTGTTACAGAAATGAGAACTGCAATGAAAACTACACAACTGATTTCATTTATCAGCTGTATTCTGAAGAAGGAAAAGGAGTGTTTGACTGTCGAAAAAATGTATTGGGCCATATGCAGCAGGTAAATACAACCCTAAAGCTACAGACAGCACTAACTTTGTATGCACAAAGTATATACAGTACACTATTCAAGCATTTAAAACAAGTCTGATTTAAGATTAAGGGAAACAAAGTGGAATTTTGTTTGTAGGCAACTCAGAAAGTTTTTTAGCATCAGGTTTTATTGCAAGCCCTTTTTAAAAATCAGGGAAAAATGCATTAGATTCTTTAAAAATTTCATTTTTATTCCTCTTCTGTCTATATTAATAAATCCACTTTTTGTCTTATAATGAATTGTAATACCTTCTTCATAATACAATTATCTGCCCGTCCACAATATATCTGCCTCTTGAACCCTCTTCAAGAGCGGAGATTTCATTAAGAAAATCTGTGCAGATGGGTGTTTCTGTGGAAGAAACAGAAGTGAGCTACTCCTTTGGCCTGTGCTGCTGTCTGCATTGCTTTATCTCACTGTGCAGCTGGTTGGTGGGCAAAGGGAGTTCCTGATTTGGCTACACTCATCACCGAGGCTGAAGTGGAGGAAAATGCACAATCCCCTCGATTGTCCTAAGTGAGAAGTAGTATTGATTCTGTGAGAATTCCACAGGTGCTGAATACAAATTTTAAACATCTTAGATTGACTGACGGGTGGAGCTTTTGTTTTGCTTTTCTAAGTGAGGGAAATGGAAATTAGCAGAGATAACTGATGAAACACACCAATCCTGCTTTGATAAGCTAACCCAGAATTCAATTTTTGCACAGGGTGGAGCACCTTCACCATTTGATAGAAATTTTGGGACAAAAATTTCAGCGAAAGCTATGCAGTGGATCTCCAAAAAACTGAAAGAAACCTACCGGAAAGGTGCAGAAACGTTTGGTGCAGTCTCTTGTTACTGTCTTTGATTGTCTGTCAGTCTGTAAGAGTCCTCCACTTCACAAACATATGAATATTTATTAGTCAACATACTTCTTCCCATCTTGGTATTTTTATTATTCAGTGATACCTTACTGTGCTTCTTACTATATGAACAATAATTCAGATAGCTGTTTCACCATCCTCTTAAACAAAATAGCCAGTGTGATAGAAGGTTTTCATGCATGCAGGAATTAATATTTGTATAGTTACATTTGTTCTTTTTTGTTTCATGCTGCCTTCATGGGAGACAGAAGGAGGTAATATTTAGTCTTTAAGAACTTTTGTAAAGCACTACTTCCTAAAATCTGATCTAAAACTGGATGCTAAAATTCAATCATTTTGTTGTTTAATTGTACTCTTACTTCATTGCTAATCACCGAAGTTAAGCTAAAAAAGTGAAGATCTAACCCTATTAAAGCACTAATTTGGTTATTTCAATCTATTAAATAATCAGTAGCTGAAATTAGGCTACTGTAAGTTTTTGTTCAGTTTAATTGCAGAAAAGTGGTATTTGCCCTTATACTTGTAAGAAAGGTGCTGAATTACTTCATTATTTTTAGGAAAAGTATTTGCCAATACTGATGACTCAGTTTGTTTGCTGGGAATACGGAGACGCAACCTTGTTTTCCAACCCGTGGCTGAGCTGAAGAGTGAAACAGACTTTGTGTAAGTATGCACTGCTGGTGGTAAACACCTCACCACAGCCTGCCTTGCACCACTTCAAACAAACACTTCCCAACGCCTTACTGCTTTTGCCTTAGGCCTCAGTTCTGCCAGATCCACTTGGATTGTTCTCTTCTCTCTTGCCTTTTGCTTTTACTTCATCCTCCTTACACTTGAAAGTCTTACAAGTCTGGGACTCAGCTGTCCTATTAAGTAACTTCCATGTGATAGTCTTTGCCTTAACGGCTAGAATTACTTTACTTCTGTTTCAGTTCAGTGGGGCAAGCATTTTTGTGCCAAATTTGGTATTATGCTTAACATCTTCCATTAAGACCTGTTCATCTGGGATTCTGTCCTTGATTCTTCTCATTTTGCATCAACGTTTTACATCCCTCCATGCCAGTCAGTGCCTGCTTCCATTTTTAAGGAAGGTGTTTGCTTTACCCTCATGTATTTCATCTCCCTGTTTCCCCCTCCAGACACAGGATTCCCAAGGAGCAGTGGTGGCTGAAGCTGCGACCGCTGATGAAGATCCTGGCCAAGTACAAGACCAGCTACGACGTGTCAGACTCAGGCCAGCTGGAACACGTGGCCATGCTCCCAAAGGAAGCTGAGACCGGAGCCATCTAAACACACCACATTTAAATTGTTGTCATAGATGCACATTGTGAGTAACAATGCTTTAGAATCGTTAAAGCTTTGTTTTGAAACATTTAAATTATTGTTCCAGCACTTTATGTGAAACAAGACGTTCAGCTGTCACACAGATTCTGTCCTGTTTGTGTGTTATGTTTGAAACAAACCCTTGCATCTAAAACACCAGTACTGATACTGCCCTTAAACAAACAAGTGCAACACCGTTCTATGCACTCCGTAAGTTACTCATCTACTGCACTTTGTTTCAGAGTACTTACACCCCAAAACTAAGTGTAGATGGCTAGTTCTTGTGTTGAGTTACAGGATGTGCTTAATGTTTCTGAAGTGAAATAAAATACTGTTGCAAACATCACATGTGTGTTCATTTGCTTTTAAACAGCTGCAGGAATAGTTCATGAAGGATTTTCTATAGACTCCAGTGAAGGAAAAAGAACGTCCCCTTTTCTTTCCTCAACTCTGCAGGAAGTAGTCAGTCACACCAGAGCAACACTCAGTCACACTCCTTGCTGCTTCAGGATCAAGCTAGGAGTTGGAATCCTCCTTGTACAGGAAGGATAAAACTAGTTCTTGGGGTTGGGAGTGGGGAGGAACAGCTTTAGCAATGTGAGATTCATAAGGGTGTAACGTGGCCCTTGCTTCATGTTTCCTTTTTCTTAGAGCTTCTTTAAGATTATTAACACCCCCAATACTGATCAAAAAGGGTAACAAGGCTGAAAAACGGCGAAAAATGTTTTATAATGCCAGTTTATGTTAAATGGACCTTGAGAACAAGGTAAATACTGAATCATGGCATACCAAAGTCTGACTTAATGTTGGCCAAACTCAAGCTAAACTAAACTTTATATAAAATATTTTATATAGACTTCCTTGATTGATTAGGGATTTTCCCACTGCACTGCATGCTCAGCTTGGTGGAATGTACTGTCACAGACTGCTCAGGCTGGAGGTGGCTTATGCAAAGGCAGCTGCAATTACCACACCACAGAATGAAATCTGTCAGTATGAGAGACAGCTCTTTTATATACCCAGCAGCAAACATGATTTCAAACAAAACACCATTCAAAACTAGAGTTTTACATATACAAAAATATTTCATTTATATAGTGTTCACATGTGATTGGAGGAGTGAGGCTTCATTAAAAGATTAAAGTCTGTCTTTGCCATGCAGAGCATATAATTCTTGCTCTCAAATACTGTATGGTTAGAAAATTTTTCACATCATTATTCTGAGAAGGGGAGCTTCTAACTGGTTTGGTGAACACTGTTAAAAACCAGCAATGAACATTTCAGTTGGACCACAGCACTGCTAAAAGTTACTAAAACCCCTAATGTTGTAGTCACACAGATTGCAGCTAAACACCCACAGAAAAGCCAAAGTCATCGCTTGACCCATGAGGGATCTTTGGTGATCTCTGCATTTTCTGGGCCAAGTACAGCTTGACCACGAGTGCTCTTCCCAACTGCAAGATACCTGGAATTAAAGAAAAAAAAACATAAACAAGTGAGAAACTGCTACATTCGGTTAACCACAGCACTGCTGTCAAAGTTAAAAATACTCCCATTTTAGGAGTGTCCTTTGTTGCATACAACTTGTGTTGTGCTCACTCATCACAAAAGTCTCTCCTTAGCCCTGTACTTGGCTGTAGTGGAATTTTTATATCTACAGTGGAATTCAGAAATCAGACACAAAATGCTCCAAGTGAAGTAGAAGCAGCTTATATAGTCTACTCATACCTAGTATACAGTCTACCCAGACAGTTTCTGGGCCCTTCAAAAGTAAACCAAACCCAATCTCCCACAGACTCAGAGTGTAGGAGGGAATTACATCTGCTAAACATGCAATAAACAGGATATAATTAACACATCCTTTTCTGGGTTACAGAAGAAAATAGTGAAAGTAGTATGAAAGACCAAGGGAAGAAGCCCAGTAATTTAAATATGACAACTGAGCACAGGCTTACTTGTTAGATACATCAACCAAGTTATCACTGTTGACAGCAAAAAGTTGTTCTCTGTGCGACTGCTTCATTTCATCTGAAATCCCATACAGGAAATGACCCATTCCTAGGGAAAAGAAAACAAAACCATACACTGCTCTGGTGCACTGGAACCTGTCACAGCCACAGGCAGGAATGAGAGCAAACTACAACAGGAATCTGTGCTGAAAAGAAATAGAGACTAACCATCAAACTATCATGCTGGGAGAATATCCAACTGAATCAAGCACAATAAGCTGAAACCAGGGTGAGGCAGTAACAGTCTCCTATTTAGGAAAAAATTCCATTTTGGCAAATTATTTGGTTTGTCAAAAATCTGAACGTAATGGTGGTCCAGGAAACTTAGACATAATTCATTCTGAAGAGATGATGTTGTTATCATCTAACAACTTTTTAAACAAACTGCATTTCATGAAGCTTCTGTTTTTGAACTATTTTATTTCCATTCAGTGGTGATGTATCTGCAATGTGAAGGTTTGCTCATATTTTTGTACTACACACAGAAATCTGCATACAAATGCTTTAATGTTTTGTTGGAGTACTTGCCCACAGCATTTTAATTGCTCCCTGAACAACTAGAGAACTCCAAAATAATCACAATCACAGAAAAGCTTTTTGTCAAGCAAATAGCCATAGGGAAATAAAGGCAGCTGGGAGGATTTCAGTCAACTAGTCCAACCTCCTGCCCAAAGCAGGGCTGAGTTCCCAGCCAGGTAAGGTTTTCACATCCATCTGCAGTGCCCAGTGACTCAGAAGCATGAAGGGACAGGTGTTCCTTGCACCAGTTCCCAGGCCTCTGGAACAGAGCTCTCCTGTTCAGTGCTCTGTTAAGATCTGTGTTCAAATGCCAAAGAATGTTTGCCATCCCTCCCTGACACCAACGCCCAATGTGCACTGCACAGTGTGGGCATGCACACAAGGCACTGCACTCGTGTGCACCTCACACCAATTGCTTTTTAACTGCCCAGACCACAACCAGATTCTGACAGGTAAAAGCCTAATTTGACGTATTCTTGTTTAAACAGGTTAGTGCTAATACAAGCACATTTTAAAATAATGCTAATCTTATCCATGTAATTCCTTTGTGTATGGGAAGGAAATGTGTTTTACCTGGGCAAGTTTTGGATTGAAATTCAGTAAGAGAACAGGGAGAGAAGTGAGGACAGCAAAGCTACATGTTAATAAACTGAAAAGATACTACCAATGCATCATGGATGTGCAGATCTGCAAAGAAGCTAAAAACATCCTCCACCCAGCAGACAGACCTCTGTGCTTTAACTTCTTCAGAGAACACATGCACAAAGGGCTAGTGACATTCCCAGTCAGTATGTCTGCGTGAGTCAGGAAAGTAACCCCTCAGCTCTTCTTCAATCAGAGGACCAGTATTTTCATTTGTCTGCATCTAATGCTCTCCAAACCTAAAATAATTTCCTCAATCTACCTCCATGTGATGCAGAGGAGCAGCAACACAAAACTTCAGCAGAACCTGGGTGGATGAGATGTTTCTAAAAAGGAGCAGTAAGAACTAATAGATTCATTGAAACTGCCATTTTCTCTCATCTTCCAAACACAAATTTTATAATCTAACACAGTTTAGTAAATTATTTTCTTCCCTTTAAACCAAAATTAAAAAGCAAATAAACACTGACAGCCCAGGGAAGATGATGAGAATGTACCTTTGTCTGAAGGAGCTATTGGTGCATCCACAGCAGCAAACACTGCTAGTTTAGCTTCATCAATATCTTGCTGTGTGAATTCTCCAGATCTGGCCCATTCAACTGCTTTTTCAAAGGTTTTCAAGGTGGCTAATGAATTTGGGTCTCTTAGAAGAAAAAGAAAATCTAAAAATTATTTACTTCAGTCTTACAAAATGAAAAACCTAAATTCTTTTATTCTCACTTCATTCATAATTTACTATATAGCACACATGGGGAAAAACAAATTATAAACTTCCTTTTTTTGCATTTCTTTTTCAGAAGAAAGTAGTGTTACAAACAAGCAGATTCAGAATTTTATATACACAGGTACAGAAGTTCAGCTGCCTCAAAGTAGTTCCAAGATAGTGTAGAGAGAAGTGGCGTAATAAAAGCAGGTCAGGTAAGCCAGTGCTGTTCACAGTGGGCTCTGAAAGCACCACTGCCATTACTGCCCACACCAGGAATATTTATGATATGCCCTATCTCCTCTCAGTTGCTTTTCTTGCCACACCTGTTTTTACTCTCTGTAAAACAGGTGCCACAGGTTAACTACTACTGGCAAGTTAAGGACTACTGCCAGGACAAGTCCTACCACGTTGTAACTTCACAGAAAGGCCAGACTGCTCAAACCTCAGTCAGGAACCCTGACCAAGCATTGTGCCAGGCTGCCTTTGGGCTAGGAAAACAACTGAAGCCAGGACTCCATCCACACAACACTGCTAGTCAGGATTACAACTATAATACCTCCAGTTCAAATTTCATCAGAAAGTGCCCTGGGAAGCTAAATACAGGGTAACTGTTCTGGACTGGCAAAGAGAAGAGAGTAGAAAAGAAGGAGCAAGCAGTTCTAGCTCATCACCAGCAATGCTTTCTGCTGAATCTCTGATGATTTCAGCCAGTTGCTTTAAGATTCGTATTTTCAAACTCAGGACCTTAGAGAACTTCACCATTCCACTTCATGGTCTCAAATTTAGAGTAGTCTTGAATTTATTTTTCTAGGGGCTCCTTAACCCAGAAATAAATAAGTGAAAGCCAGTTATACATAAATCTGAGACTGAGACAGTAAACACAAAAGTTCAGAGCTGCAGCAGTGGTTGCTACCAGCAGAGATAATTTAAGCTTTCCCATGGGCACAAACAAGATAAAGCAAGGATAGTTTTATTAGGCAATCTAACTTCATCAACACTGAATCACTCACTTAATTTCTTCCCTTTTATTTCACTTCTTGAAAGACTGCTACAATGAAGTCAAAAATAAGACACAGCCAAGCAGAGTGGTCAGGGGACCACTGACCACAGCAGTCAGTGGTCCCCTCAGCCATCTAGAGGAAAGAAATGCAGTTACCTGTAGGAGTAGAATGTGAATATGCCATTCTGACTAAGTTTAGCACCTCCACCATAAGCCCCTCCTTTCTCTCTGATTTCTGTATGTAGGAATTTAGCTGTCATCAACCGTGCAAGAACTCGAAGGCTGAAACGAGAGAAATAGAAGCAGTGAAGATGTGAGCTGGTCAACAGTAACAGTCTCAACTGCCCCTAAAGCTCCCCCAGATCCCCATTTGCAATGCACTGCTGCTTGTAATCTATGACAGTTACCACAGCAATACTCACTATTTAATAATGGCTGAATAATGTCACATCACTGTAAGAGGGGCACTGAACTTTGTTACATGCAATAGGACTGTCAACTCAGGACACGTCCAAGTAGGCAGGGCTGTTTATTCCAAAGTAGAGGAGAGCAGTCCCTCATTACTTAATCTCAGTATTTACAGGGCTTCTCTGGGCTCAGATATGCAAGAGCTGCTTTGCAAAGATTTTGTTACAAATGCACTGTATTTTCTGCAGTCAGCCCAACCCTTTCTGTTTTGCTTTGTGCTGTGCAGTGCACAGAGAAGCTCCCTCAGGTTCTGCTTCCCACCTGGCATAGTCTGCAGCCGTGTAGGGAACTGTTCGAATGCATTCCCCAGTATAGTTCACTGGGAAGGGAAGTACAAAATGGGTCTTCATCTGGCATGGCTTGAAAGTAGAATCCTAGGGAAAAAGCATATTATTGTCATAGTTAGCAGCAGAGACAATTTACCCATCTCAGAGCTCTCACTTTTTTGACAACTAAGAAATTCTGCCAAACATACAGACAAATGTTAAAGCAGCCACTTATCCTACCCTGCAACCAGTGACATTTCCCTTGTGCCTGTATCAGCAATCCAGTACAAAGAATTGCCTTGGAAAACTAAAGGAGAGGGACCATACATCAGCTACCCATCCTTGCAGACCCCCTTCTCAGTTCTGCAGATTTTGAATCACTGCCAAGGAGTTTGGATTTAGCCACGGATTTTCTCTGCTTGAAACACACGTTCATGACTCTCTACTTATATCACACATGTACATGTCACCACATCATATCCCAACCCATCCATTCTAGACACTGAAAGCAGAGTCAGGAACTGTGTACCCACAAAAAAAAAGTAAACTATTTATGACAGCAGCTGTAGAATAAATTCCTGCTCAAACACCCCCTGCAACAGACTCAATTCTTCCTTACAACCTCACTTCCAAATTTCCAGTCCTCTTTATGTCTCTGGGTCTCTGCAGAGCTGGCTCCTTTGCCTCTTTCACACATACATCTGCTTGTATGCTCACTTAGGCACAGGCAGATCCTTACACAACTCCAGTGCTGCTATTTCAGATCTTCCCACCCTTTCTTAAACTCAGAAACCCCATTCCCAGACCCTCACACAACTCTGGCTGGGCCAAGCACAGCACTGCAGTTGCAGCACTGGGCTGAGCTCTCCTTGCCCCTCTCTCTTCTAAAAGGAGAGTTCAGGGTATGCTCTTCATTCCTGTAGCCAAATACAGATCCTCATATTCATCCAATTTTCACTAATGCTCTTCTGTCAGGTGTCATTCACATTCAGAATAATTTAGGGAGGAGACCAAGGAAAGGAAGGGACTAACTGGAAGTGATTGTGTTTGATGGTTAGTTGTGGAACTGAAGGGCATGAATTATGTTTCAGTGCTGTGCTTCTGTAACAGCTTAAGATGGACCATTACCATCAATAACAGACCTGTAATACCAACATCCTTCACCAATAATATACTTACATTAACTAATTTCCTTGTGATCTGCAAACCAGTAGCCATTTCACTTCCCACAAGTTTCACTTCTGAAGATTTCTACAAGAGAACCAGTCCTCATATTAAAAGATGATTTAAAAATTGGAACCAAGACTACTACAAATGCAACCCCTTCCACTCAAACCTCTCTAAGGCAATCATCAAACCATGCCTTCACAAACATACGCAAGGTACTCAATTGCTTCCTCCTATTTCCTAAACAAATGCCAAATTACTTTTCTTCTAAGAGTAATCCGGCACTGAGAGACACCAAGACCCAGATTAAATGGGGCCCATAAAGTTACAAACTATCATTTCACTCATGGGCAAGGAACTGGGAGCTCATTCCAGTTTCATCAGAAATTAAAACAGATCTGTAAAGTGACAGAGAAGATCCTTTGTAAACTCCAGTAAATCAAGCATATTTTGTGCCAAATGTCCTAAACGCCCTGGTAACAAAAACTCATATGCAACTGAAGAACTGCACATCATGCCCTATTTGCTTTTGGCCAACATTTCAAGTAAAGCTGAGCTAAAAAAGAATTACAGTTTTATGCAACAAGGAAAGGAAGAAACTCTTTTTCCATGTCCCATGCCGAAGCAGTAACCCCAGGGTAAGGCTTAACAGCTGAACTCCTGCATTTCTACTGCCCACTGTGCTGCAGTGAAGACACTCCATGGCAAAGCACAGAGCAGCTGATCACAGATATGTCCACAGAGCAGCTGATCACAGGTATGTCTGGTAGATTTCTTCAGGCATCTTTACATGGATACATGTAAAGCTCAAACTTTTCCTGATTGCACAATGGCATTGACATGATCAAGTCAACTGTATTTGATGCCCTAATCACAAATGACAATTTCTCACCTCAATCACATGTGGACGAACAGGTTTTCTCTCTTTTTTACTTCTGGCTATGCCCTTTAGAAATTTCTCTACTTCTTTAGATGCTTCTGGTATCTGCTGAGGTGCTGCATTCACAGAACATCTGTCAAAAACACATATCAAGTTTTTAAGTATGGTTTTGTGTTTTCAGAGAGTCCTTTATAATTTGTACCACTCTGTCTTTCTAAATATTTTCTATTAAATCATCAGAATGTTAGGTCAGTGATCTCAGGTAATCATTAACAAGAAAAAGGCAAAATATTCAATCCAGCATCTGATGTGAAAAAAAAAAAATACAGTCCAACTGCTGTTCTTTTGCTCATCCTAGAACACTTTCTGACCAAAAGTTGAACCGTAATTGTCAAACCTCCTGTGCACAAGACAGGACTAGCTCAGTTTAGGAAACAAAAATATCTCTGAAGGAAAATAATGCCCTCTGTATCCTCTCTTTACAGGCAACCCTAACTTAGTTTTGAACACTACAGATATTTACATAATTTCATTTATCATTTCATGCTTTCAAAAACAAAACTTTGCAAATTATGTCACTTCAAACTGACCCATTTTTGGAACTAATGCATCTGACATTAAACTCCTTAATGTGCTCTTTTTACTTTTTCCAATATATGCATAAAGCAAGTTTCATAATGTCACTGCTTTCCTTTTAGGAGCAAAACAAAAATCCAAACCAAACTATATTCAACTGTTACAAAAAAATCTAAAGGTATTTGTCTAATGGGCACCTTCAAGTGAAAAACAAAAGGCAGATTTTTGACTATTTCTGTAAAATCGCACAGGTCACTTACAAGCTTTGGGTACAGCTGTAGCCTATAAAATTTGCTGGAAGTTTCTCAAACCATTTAAATACTGAACAAAATGAGCTACCATAGCTACTGCTCTATAAGCAAGGGCAATTTAAATTGAACATTTCTGTAGTTTTCCCACAGATGTCCCATTTCATAAAACCCCATGAGGTGCACTGAGAAAAGCATGTTCACAGGCCATGGCCTCTCTTTAACCAAAATGCCCCTTTTCTTTTTAGCTCACCTGATGTTGTCACTGTTTAACAAATACTTCTTAATGCGTGGTAGTTTGCGTAGTATGGGTTTAATATCAGACATTTCTGCTATTCTCTTCATCAACTTCACCTGTGCAGGAAGGGAAGGCAGAAAGACCACAGATTAAATCAACAAGATAAATTAACAAAAACCAGCCTGTAACTCCACAGTCAAGAATTTGGGCCTTGCTGAAGAGCATTATTAACTTTTCACCTGATCCATCCCATTGAACATTTCCTGCAGCTCTCCAGAAGATGTAAGGTTTTTGCTGGCTCTAATAGAGGCATATAAATGGCCACAATCTGGAATGCCATTTGACAGCTCCTGGGCAGTCTTCTTAACCAGCACTCTGAAATGTTCTTCCTCCTCAAACCTTGGGCTGAAAAAGAATACAAGCAGGTCTCATGCAAAAGGACACCAGTGAAATTTATTTTACTGAATCAATTATCATCCCAAGTTCAACAAAGTGCTTTTAAACTGTTGGTTGTCCATTTAATCCACTATATAGTCATGCTTTTAATGCAATATGTAAGTTTAGAAAGGCATTAGAGATAGAATTATGAAAATAAATCCCAAAGTAGGGCCACTAAGAAGAGAAGAATGGCTGGGGTAAGAGTGAAAAAGAGAGCCCAAAAAAAACATGCAAACCCACAAACAAACAAAACCCAATGTACTGTACTTGTTAAATATTTCACTCCATAAATTCATCATGTCTGGCAGATTTCTATCCAAGCACAGAGATGAAAAAAGCACACCCTGAAGGAAAAAAATAAACAAAACACAAAAAAACCCTTCACACAAGACAACCACAGCAATGGCCCAAAAAATGCACAGTACCTTTTCATGGAAGTGATGCAATGATGCCAACCTAATGCTACACATTACAAAATCACTCTAATGCAAGCTGTGCTACTGAAATGAGAGCAGACATGAAATGTGATTGCTCTTCTCACAAAGCAAGGCTGGCAATTCCCCAATTTCTTCTTCTCAACAGCAAGCAGCAGTTCAGACACAAAATTTTGTATTTTTTCCCATAAAGTGCAAGTTCTGTTCTGAGGTGCACCTTTCTCCATGGGAATTCCCTTAATTTAACATCCAGGATCTATACAGAGCAAACCCTCAGCAAATTTGCAAAAATCTCAAAGAAATATTGCCAGAACTGTTATGCCCAACACATAGATCAAGTGATGCTGCCAACATAACACGTTAACAGCAAACTGTGTGTGTAACACCACACCATTCTGCCCCCTACCCTCTGCTTCCAAAATACTTTGGGCTACACAAAAATACTGTGACAGATGCTAGTGAAGTACTGCCTTAGACACAACACCCACATCAAGCACTCCCCTTAGCACAAAACACTAACTTACTGTAATTATCTAATTTATATCTTCCAAGGACTTTCAATGAACAGTAACTTAACCCTCCCCTGAAAGCCCTGACCCTTAACTACAGAACTGTTACTGCAAGTGTAACATCTGCAAGGTGATGATTAATTTACCTGTTCATAGACATCCAGGTGTGAATCATCTGGAGTGATATGTGGGCTGACAGACATACCACCTGTTTTTAATTCTATTTTCTGGGCTTGTTCCCTGTAATCAAGGGCTCCACATCCCATCCTGTGAAAAACAATAGGTATTTCTTTCCCTTTTCAGTGTATGCCAAAACCAAAATCCATGTAGCATTAGTAAATTAGTCTGTTTAGGACAATACTAATTTAGCAACTAAACAATTTGGGGCATTATCAAGCAAACGTAATACTTCATGTCTTATAAAAGCTTCACACCAGGCTTTTCAAGTAAAGCATCCTGCTAATTTAAAATGCTGTATTAAAAAGCATGCTTTATATGCGGCTTGCTACTAACATCCTTAAAAACTAAATTAACAGCATAAGTTTTTCTCATCAATAAGGACCTATTCCTCCCAGCCCAGGTCACTTGTTCTGCTTTGTGCTCCTCTGTCCCTTATGATGGGGTCACTTTTTCCATCCCCACATGGCAAAATTGCACCAGAAGTGTATTCAAGCAAAACCTTCAATCTCTGCTACGTTATTTCTCATTTATAGAAATTTTCCAATCTGTTGACGGAATGCTTGTGTTGGCACAGGGCAAAAAGGCAACGCAGAGACTGGTGGGGAAGGGGAAACTATTTAGCAACACTGGGGAATAAAGAGAACTTTCTTCTGCAAAAAACCAACTTATCAGCCTTTCCCTTTCATAGTAAGAACAGATGTTGGAATTATTAAAGGCAGTATTAGTATCATTACAGCCTGTTGCTTCAGCTTCTAAGAAAGCAAACATCTCACTTGGTAATGACGTTGCAGAAGAGTGGCACGTATGGCTTGAGCTCCTCAGGAAGCGCGTTCAGGCTGGAAACAGCTCGGAAATAAACCACCCCATTGGTTGGCTGAGCACAGTACTGGACAGGAATGTCATCAGCTAGGGATAAACAACAGCAAAGAATAACCAGCATCATCCCACTACAAACACACAAAAGCAAAATGATTTCTTACAAGAGTATCTCATTAAGAATAATTTTCTGTTGGTGTTTCAGAGACACTTCTTGTTTAAATTTTGCACATTACACTGAATGCTGGACCAAAGGGGTTTTTCTGTTTTCTGTACATGGTAAGGTAATGGACACCTAGACAATTTGAAAAGAGCATTCTTCTAACAGAGATCATATTTTAGAGATAACATTCAGATAAAATTAGTAGGAACTGGTTCCTGAACAAGTCAAAAAGTTTTTCTTCCTTATTTTTGCCTTCATCCATCTAAAAATTGAGGAAAGCAGCTTTTTGCACTGTACACTCTTCCTAAGCCAGACTATAAAAACTAGGCCATTTTTTGCAATAAGGTTAAACAGTCTTGACACTTGCTGGTAATTTTTGAAGAAAAATATCTATTAGAAATATACTACAGAAAGTATTTACCTGCAAAATTTTGACAGAACTGTAACAAAATTCAGAACTACCACCTTGTATCAGTCCCTGAGGAAACCACTAGCAAAGCAGGGAAAAACTTGCTCTGAAGTTATGAGGAAGGACAGTAACTTATTTTTTTCCTGTGGCTCCTCTATGTCATATTCTGTAAAAAACAGGTAAGGAGGGACTGCAGTAAGGAAGGCTTGCTGCCCTGGCTGCCAGGAGTTCTGCAATGTGGGCAAGCCTTTGGAAAGTGAGGAGATTGCTCAAGAGCACTGAATGTACCAGCCAGAGACTCCTCTGACTGCAGGGCAAGTAGGGAGTATGCCTGCAGCAGGGAGCTGCCATCAGGAGCTCCTGCCAGCCCTGGGAAGGCCGGGAGGCTGTTCCATGTCCATGCTGCCCCTTGGAGGTGACAGCTCTCCGGATCCACTGCCATGTCTGCCCAGAGGTGCTGGGCTGGAGAGGAGGAGAAAGAGCACAGCTATGGGCCACAAAGCCAGTGCATGTGCTGGGCAAGGGGCCACAGCTGGGCCAGCAGCCAGGGAACAACCCAACAGTGCTGCTCTTTGGGACACGAGACAGTGTGACACCAACCTGCAAGTGCTGTCTCCAGCACAGTGAAGGGGATTTTGGGCTCGATGTCAGACACTTTTAAAGCTGGGAGACAAGAGGTATCCTGAGGTTTGCTTTGAAGAGCAATTAATTCCAAACCTAGTAAGAAGAGAATACCAAAATTGTCATTTTCAGCTTGTAGTGAAACTGCTGTCAAGACCTAAAACCTACTGAGATGATGCAGATCCGAATAACTCAAGAGTCAAGTTTGGAGTCTTCTATCAGCAACTTTGCAAATATTTTCCTAAAGCAAATTCTGCAGATTATCATTTAACAACAGCAGAGGACATGCTTAGATTCTCTTTCCAATCCCGTCTTCACAGCCTGTTTATAGTAAAATGTAATTTAATCTTTAAGTGACACCTGCCAGTCTGTGCTGTCACTCAGCTCTGCAAGCATCGACCCAGACCTGGCAGATAAGAAGCTTCTTTCTAACCCAATCCGTTCCAGTTCTTACTCAAGTGCTCTGTCAGAACACTGATGCAACTAAATTGTTGTGATTACTTTCACATTTCAGACTTTCAGACACTAGCTGGTCACCTCTGAGTACTCTCCAATTTATCTCTGCAAGTAGAAAGCCTCCTCTAATTTCGTGCTCCCTATCTCCTGTCACGCACCAAAGCTTCAGAAGATTAACACCACATTTTTGGAGGATTTCTGTGACTAGACAGTGCTTTAACAAAATTAGATGACTGCCCACGGTTTTCAAGTGTAAGTTATTCTTGTGAATAAGTTAAACCCAGCATTACTTTTATAGTTGGCTTTTTAACCAGAAAATATAAGAAATACAATTAAAAAATGTTAAGTTTTACAGGAGCATGGAGCAGACCTCATGCTCATAAATAAAAAGTTTCAAGGTACGTGGTATGTAAGTATCTGAAAAGAGGGTGCCAAGAGGATGGAGCCAGGCTCTGCTTGGTGGTGCTGAGCAAAAGGACAGGAGCCAATGGGCAGAAACTGATGCACAAAAAGTTCCAACTGAACATGAGGAAGAACTACTTTACTGTGCAGTGTCCAACACAGAACAGATGCCTACAGAGGCTGTGGAGTCTCTCTCACTGGAGATACTTCAAAACCCCTGGATACAATCCTGTGCCATGTGCTCTAGGACATCCCTGTCTGAGCAGGGAGGTTATCCAAGATGACCTACCATGATCCCTTCCAAACTGACCCATCCTGGGATTCTGGGAATTCACCTTCCACTCAGTGCAAGTTAACATGGGAAAGAATAAACAGATTGGTATTTTAAAACAATTTCCTTTTTTCTGCCCTAATGAAGACATTGATCATTTTATTCTTGAGTGCTAAAACTAATGGAATATACCAACCATACACTGCAGTGTAAGCACTGCACTGCCCTTTAACACATACATACAAATTTGCCACAAAAAAACCCATCCCTTTCAGAGCAAATGCTGGAGAGTGTGTGAAAATTTAAGATATTCTACAGAAAAACAGCTAAAAAATCATTATATAAATAAATATGTGAAAAAGCAAGTTAACCTTTTTCAAAGATTTGTGTTTTTTCCTCTTCAGAAAGTGCATTGACCTTTTTTTCCAGCTTTTCTGCTTCCATTTTAGCTTGTTTATCATGGTAGTCTTCCTCTGGACTCATTGACAGAGTCAATTTGTGTGGATTATCCTGCAGAAATATATCCCAAAACAAAGCATTAATTCTGAGGGCAACTTCCTTGTCTCAGATTATTGCTCCATCAGCAGCAGATAAACAGCCTGTGCATCATTTGGCTTGCACATTATCCAAAGTATCACAACCACACAGACTGAGCCCTTGTTTCATACAGAACAAGCTGCTCTGAGGAAAAGGCTGCTCAGCAGAGGAACAAGAACCAACAGCCTTCTGCTAAGTTTCACTCAAGAGTCAGAATCCCTCAACAGCACACAGTACTCATTAGTTTAATTAAACCCAGGTTAAACAACTGTACATAACAAACACTACAGAGCCGTAAGTTTCATCTGGAGGGTGTTCTAAGAGGGGGAAATTCTGTTAAATGCAGGAGGGTTTGATTAAACACCTCTTTCAACCTGCCCAAGCTTGAGTGCACAGAGATCCCAAATGATGTAGAATGTGCATGCTTCATCCTGCTCAGAAATGCTTCACACATCAGCCTCGCTGCCACAGAACTCCAGGCATTACGCAAGCTTCAAACTGCTGTTGAATTCTTTGTTTACACCAGACTATGGAATTTTAATATCAAAATTACTCAAGTAGCTTCCATTTTCCATAATAGGAAAGGGAGGCCAGCCAAAAGACAGTGACCTCAAAAACTACCCATTTCAATGCAGGAGTCAAACAGCAACATCTGGCACTGATAGACAGCAGTAATCTGGGACAATGTAATCAGATGCTGTTTTATGAGTTTATCTCCCCCATGCCTGTGTGAAAACACCACAGAAACCTGACTACAGAGTTAAAGAGAGACATGCAAAACTAACTAGCCATAGTAAAATGGAGAGGATGAAAAGCATTCTCACCTTTGTTCTCTGCCTGCCTGCAGAATTTCCCAGCACAAGGTACAACAGTGCATGATCTCATGATGTAAGAACATACAACTATTCTCATCATTTCCTACTGAGATGTGCCTTTGCCTCAGCCCCCTCAACAGAACTGTACAGTAAAAGACATTCACAAAAATACTGCACCTGCATTTCTTCCCTATAGAAGCCAAAACTTTAACAGCAGCCTACTACCTCTAGACACTAGTAAATGTTCTTAGGAAAACTGATTTCAACTGATGTCTCCTGGTTTTGAGTATATTAGAATCAAGATTTACTCCAATCTAGGTAACAGTTACTTATAATTAATCTGCCTTTTGAAACAAACAAGCTGACTATGGAAAAAAAAAAAAAAAAAAAAAAAAAAAAAAAAAAAAAAAAAACAAAAAAAAACAAAAAACCTACCAGAAAAAGCAAATGAATAAAACAAAGCCACAAAACAAACAAACCCTACAAAAACCCCACACCACTTTTGCATTGCTATAATTGGATATTTTTTTTTCTGGAATTAACTAATTCAGGGCTTCAGAACTATTCAGCATTATAATGCCTTTACTGGATATTTTTTATTTCTGAAAAAAATCCAAAAGAACATATAAAGAGGAAAAGAAGAGAAAGAGCAGAAAGTAATTGGCACTGACAGCAACATTCAGACAGCAGCTCAATGGACATGAGGAACACAAAGACAATCTTATTTGTAACCAAATCCTTTGCAAGGAAAATTAGATGCACCTTGCTATGTCAATACTAAGGAACACATAACTAGGTCCAGAATTCTCTGTTCACATCTGAACTTCTCATCAGGAAAGAGATGTGCCCTTCTATACCAATTGCAGTATGGTAAACATTAGTGTTCTATTAAATATATCATATAAATATCAGTGTTCGATTAAATATGGTTCCAACTGACCAACCAGGTAATTTTTTTTTCCCTTTTAAATGTGGAAACTTAAACCATTAAAATTAACATGTTTCATTTGGATATGTTGCTGCTCAAGCCACACCTAAAAACAGGTAATATGGTGATAAAAATTGGCCTTCAGTTTAACTTCAAATAAAAAATTGTGATTCAAAAATTAATACAAGATAATTTTCTGTAAGCTTGCCTACCTTGAAGTATGTTTTAACTTTTTCCTGAAGAAATCTGGGATTTTCTTTAAGACACTGCTTGAACCGAGAGACTTTATCTGCAATCTTCAGAAGCTCCACTGGATCCCCATCTTGATTCCAGCACGAAGCTATGTACTGAATGGGAAAGAATGATTAAGTAAACAGGACAATCCATCTGCATTTCTCTGAGAGCATCAGTGCTCCAAAACCACCTTAACACTTATACTTGAATAGCAGACACAGAATGCGTAGTCCTAATGTAGCTGGGGGAGGAAAAGATATTTTTCAAATAAACGTTCTATTCCACCATCACCTATCCCCCATTCTCTCCAATCTTGCCTCTAATTTCACTATACCAAACCACCATTTTTTAAACTATTACTCTTTTTTTTTTTTTACATAGCTGTGCATATCTGGAAATATACTGTAACATTCTTCAGTACCTCACATTAAAATGAATTTTTCATCTCAAGAAAAAAAGGAAAACAAACAGGTGGTAGAGACAAAGTAGTAAGTACATACATGCTACAGTTTTGTATCGGCTAGATTAAATGATTTATAAGAAGGTTGACTCAAACATGTAAAGTATGTTAATTAGGTGAGACTTTGGAGAAAGAAAATGCTAAATAGCCAGAAATATCCCCAGGATATTTCTTTTATTTTCTAATTTGAGTTTGCTTAAGTTGCTATTGAAAGTTCTCCAAAACAACACAAGTGCAAGATACCAAAAGTTTGTTTATTTCTCCTCTGTGTGAATGGGGAAAAACCAAAAACAAAGCAAAGTATAAAATCCTGTCAAATCCACTTTCTCTTTTCCTACCTCTTTAATTACAGGCAGGTTCATAAGCCTTCAGTATTTTTCAGCAATAACTATTTTTTTCTATTCTGTGGAATTCCCCAATATGATACAAAGCAGAGTATTTTTTTAGAACATGCTTGAGCCAATTCTCTTGAATTAAAAGCAGTCACTCCTTATGTGAGGCTGCTGTGGGATCATTACAACAGTTCAGTCCTGGTTCTCAGCAGGCAGCCTAGAAGATTAACCATGTATGTAAGAGCACTGTCCAACAGCTTTTGAGCACTGACAGGCTTGGGGCCACAGCCACTTCTTTGGTGCCACACTTCATCCCTGGCAGCTCAGCTCCACACAGCCACTCACTCTGCCCCTCACAGCAGGATGTGAAAGGATCAGAAGGGTGAAAGTGAAGGAACACATGTTGAAATAAATGCAGTGTAACAGGTAAAGCAAAACCTGTGTGTGAGCAGAGCAAGCCAAGGAATTCATTCCCTGCTTTGCACAGGCAGGCAGATGTTCACCATGCCCAGGACAGCAGGGCTCCATCACATATACTGGTGACTTAGGAAGACAAACACCATCACTCCAAACATCCCCTCCTTGCTTCTTCCCTCAGCTCGTACGGCTGAGCAGGGTGTGGGCAACCCTTGGGTCTTTTTGGGGTCCACTGTCCCCTGGTGTCCCCTCCCAGCTCCTTGCCCATCACCAGCCTCCTGGTTGGTAGGGTGGGAGGGACAAGCAGAGAAGGCTTTGACACTGTGCCAACACTAGGCAACAATGAAAACACCCCTGTGTTATCAGCACAAACCAGAACACAGCCCCCTTCCAGCCACTGGGGAGAGATTTAACTCTATCCCAGCCACCTGGGAGGACTTGCTCCAATGTCTGACCACCCTCTTGTGAACAGCTTTTTCCTAATAACAAAACTGATGTCACCTACCTTGACTTTCAAAGGACCTCTGACAGTCCCACACAACATCCTTTATTGTTAGATTGGAGAGATACGGATTTGGTGGATGGACTATGGGATGGATAAGGAATTGGTGGATGGTGACATGCAAGCAGTTGCATTCCAATGGCCAGCATCCAAAGGGAGATGAGTAACAAGCACTGCCTGTCCCCCAGGGGTCTGCTGGGTGCAATACTATTGAACACCTTTATTAATCACACAGCCAATGCTCCTGAGGGCACTCACAGCAGGTTTGCAGATGACACCAAACTGAGAGGTGTGGTGGACACTCTGGAGGGAAGGGATGCCATGCAGAGGGACTGGACAGGCTTGAGGAGTGTACCTACATGAAGTTCATTTAGTTCAAACAAGGCCAAGTGCAAAGTTCTGCACTGGGGCTGGGCAACGGCCAACAATCAGTACAAGTTTAGAGATTTAAGGTTTGAGAAAAGACCTGTAGAGAAAAGCTTGGGGATATTGGTAGATGAGAAGTTGGAAATTAGACCACAATGAATGCTCCCAGCCCAGAGAGTCAATTGTATCCTGGGATGTACCAAAAAAATCAGGGCGAGCAGGGCGAGGGAGGTGATGCTGCCCCTCTACTCCACTCCCATCAGACCCCACCTGAGGTACTGCACACAGCTTTGGGGCCTGCAGTGCACGACAAACATTGACCTGTGAGAGTAGGTCAGAGGGGAACCACAAAAATTATCGAAGTGGTGGAACACCTCTCCTACAAAGGCTGAGAGACTTAAGGTTGTTCAGGCTGGAGAAGGAAAGGGCTTTGGAGAGACCTTACTGCAGCTTTTCAATATATGAAGGGGGCTTATAAAGATAGACTTTTAAAAGGATAGACTTTTTTCACATCCTGTACAGACAGGACAAGCAGCGAAGGTTTTAAACTGAAAGATGGCAGATTTAGATTGGACATAAAGACAAAATTCTTTACTATGAGGGTGGTTAAACAATGGAGCAGGTTGCTGACAGAAGCTGTGGGTGCTCCATTTCCTGGAAGTGTTTGAAGGCATGTCAAAAGTGCTCTTAGTAACTGGATTTAGCAAATGATGGCCCTGTTTATGGCAGGGAGGTTGGACCTGGATGATCTTCAAAGGTCCCTTCCAACCCAAATAATTCCATAATTCTATGATCACTTTAGTTATAACAAGGTCCTCTTCAAAGCCAATTTCTAAAACATGACTTCCGGGAAACAAACTGAAACATAACTCTCCTCTATGGGAGTATTAGCACTAAATGTTGCAAGACAGGCCTTTAAAAGCAAGAAATTACCAAGAGCTTTCTGTTCTACAACGAAGGCATAGCAGTTGAATCAATTTCAAGACTTAATGTTGAGGGGTAAAGTTATCTGCATAAATATTTCATCAGACAACTACTCACAACATCTGAACACATGCCAGAAAGTAGTGACTATTAAAGTCAGGCATATTTGGCCAGATTTACCATGAAACATGACAGGCACTTAAATATCCACAATTTGCCTATATGGCTGTATGGCAATCTGATTTAAAAAAGCTTTTGTTTGTGCTCACCCATTTACAAATCTCCCGTTAATCCAGGGCTCTGCTTTTTTGCCTTAATGTATATACCTAGGAATAAAACCCTGCTCATGCAAAGAATATACAACACCTGAGAGACAGAAAGCAAAAGAGCCACAGAGGAACTGAAGTTGCTGCAGATCAGAAAGGAACAGAGGAGATTAAAGACTGAGTGGCTGCAGGAGACCCTGATTTCCACAGTGACTGCAAACACTGCACCTCACTCATTCCAAACATAAGATGACTTGCAGACTCCTTCAAGACATTCTGCTGTGGAATGGGTTTTCTATAACAGTTTAGTACAAAAATTTGAGACCAAGAATTGCATTACTATACATTTTCCCTTGTGAATCTAGAAATTAACTTACAGCAGTACAATCCTGAAGTCCACAGAAAAATACAGTCCTTCTATTTGGCTTTTAGAAAACACACAGGCATCTAGCCAAAACAGACAGTTCCCAGAGCCAGTATGATATGCCCATCACAGAATAACCAGTGCTACTACAATCAAAGCTGCTATTCAGGCAAAGACAACAGGCTCACTGCCTGATTAACTCATACAGTGGGAAGTCCACAGACAGTCTGACAGCTACTGAAAAGAAAGAAGAAAGATGTACACAATATGACAGAGGAAGAGCCCTTAAATGGGAAGTTTTACATATCAGGAGACGACAAAATGACCCTGTATTTTATAAAGACATAGGTGGTAGATTTTTTTTTTTAAATATTCTTAAAAGAAACACACACACAGACTTACAGATGTCAGGGCAAGTCCAAAACTCGTAGACTGATGCTTCAACTGTATTTCAATTTTGTGAAGTAGAGCTTCAATCCTATCTTCCTCAAAACCTTTCCTTTGGGAAGGGGCAATGAGAAAAGGAAATAATATCCATTAGCACTGATCATAACCGAAGTGAGGTTATGAAAATGAATTAGGAGAACAATAAAGGAAGCATTACAACATAACATCTTTCACATTGAACAAAAATGGATATGAAATAATGTAATCATGTATCATTTAGAGAAACTCAACTAACATCAAACTCCTGAAGGTTACACTGATGAGAACAAACTACAATAAAGGAAGTAGCAGACACAAGTTGTACGAGTACTGAACAATATTACTTCTGCTTTAGTGCCTTTATTGTAATATAACTAGATTTTTAAGGCATGTTATTATATACAAGTCTGCATTATTACACACCTACGTATTATTATGTTAACTAATACTATTCTTAAAAAATAAGCATTACTCACACAATAACTTCATCGACTGTTCTGTCAATTATCTGTTTCACAGTATCAATGTCTCTTTCAGCAATACCCTGTAGACCCACACTGAAATAAGCTTCTCTTGTTGAGCCATTAAACCTAGAATAAAACATAACCAACTCAGTGATAAGTACTAGAACTTAAGCATTAAAGCTGCCAACAAAGGCAAGAGAAGGGAAAAAACACCCATTGTTTCCACATATACAAACACAAAAGATTTAAAAGCTAGATAGAAAGTAAAATAATTACCAAAGAGGCAAGAAATGGAACTTAATAGCATTTTTTGTTCAATTTCAATAGTAGTAGCCACTGTCAAGAAAACCCACAGCATATGGTTTTAGAGAAAGAAAAACAGCAACAGAAGTAAAGCTGGTATTTTCTGTTCATCTTCCCATTCTTCTGTAATTTCTTTCAGGTAAAGAAGTCTTTTTAAGGTGAAAATTTTAGCTGTAACACCAAACACATACATTCTACTACAAGCAGGTGAGTGAAACAACACTTCTAAAGCAGTATTGGTAAAGTAAGTGGTTAAGGTGAAGTTTTCCATGTTTACTGCAATTGTTACCAACGGTATTTAAAAAAAAAATATAACAGTAAAGACAATTCTGTCCAAACTGTCAGGCAAGGTTAACCACAGAGCTCATCTTTATAGAAATACAATGGCACTTGCAGAAATACAGAACACCTAGCAATTCAAAGCCAACACACAAAAAGCAATAGGTGCTCATGCACTAGTAAACAACCAATATTACATGCCTAAAAACCACAGAAAGAATTCAGTGGCAGGCTCAGATCCTGGATTCTGCAATACTCATCTCTGGGCTCAAACTTACTCTTGTAGATTCATCAATACAGTCACTAAGGCAAATTAAAGCCAGCTCACATCCATATCAATCCAACCAACATGGAAAAGGACCGGCTGACAAAAAATACAACATAATCCCTACTTCGGTGTCTAAAGCAGGATTTCTACTGCCATGCTCTAGAGTATGAAGATGCCTGCAAAGCACTGGCACACATGACACAGGACTTGCAGAAAGCCAACTACTTATTGCAGAAATAGGTCAAGCCAGGCCAAGTAAGACATTAAAATTATGGATGAGTGGGAAATTGAGGTTTCCCACTCAAAACACTTGAGAGTCACTGGAGAAAAGGCATGATTTTAGTCATCCTCAAGTCCAAAAATCAGTCAAATGAATCATGCCTGGAAAGCACTTCCTTCTTTGCGCTGACAAAAAAGGCAAATTCTGTACTGAGGTGATGGCAAGTTAACAGCACCTGATTGCACAAAGGCACATTTGTGAACAAACCTACCTACTACTAAACGACAGAATTAAAGCAATAAAAGCAATGTGGTTACAGAGAAGAGCTCACAAACACTTCTACATAATACTTAAATGTCCAGTATGAAAAACCCAGGTAAATTAAGGCACTGAAGGTATTCCATATTTTACTCTATCTATCCATTTTTATGGTTCATAAGCTGTAAACAATACAAGTTTGATTAACCAACTTAGCTTCTATCCAAGTGCTTCAATGAGACAAAAGTTACATCACAGAAAGCTTTACAGCTCACCAGGAATATATCAGGAAAATATCTTTTATGATATTTTAATATTACAGGGAGATTACTCTGGTGTAAATTGCTTGTATAAGAGATGAGTTCTTCCAACTTAGAAGGGCTTTTTAGTTTTTCTAACATTGCTTCTAGTAATGAAATGTGAATTGCAACACTTACCCAACGTCAGGAGAAAAATCTGTACCAACACCAGACTCAATTAAGGCTTTGTAAAAAGGAGAATTTGGCCCATCAACCAACAGTGAAGACAACAGGCTTAGGGTGAACGTTTCAAAAGTGTCTGTAATACTGAAGAAAAACAATTAGTTCTTAAAAACCATATGTGACACCCAGTATCACCGAGTCCATTTCAACAGAACTGGAAAACAAAGGTAGAGGGAACAAGGGAGAAGTAATTGTCAGCTGTGAAGCCCACATCAGACCTTAGGGAAATCAGAGGGCTCTGCATCTTTCACTAGTTATAACTACCAGGAAACTAATTTAAATTGCGCTGCAAGGGGAGGTAAGTTAGTAGCAGGGTCATACAGAAGAACCTGCACATGGCAGGGAACTGAAAGGAAGACAATGTTTCCAAATGCCTCACCCACTGAACAGTTCTGTAAAGTAACACTTGATTCTCCTTGTGTGCATCTGCTAAACCAAATTATTCAGCAATTAAACTTTTCTTTACTAAAGCAGGACTGATCTATTTTCCTATGGCATTATTTTCTTTAGGGATTACATTTATCAACAGGGACTTGGGACAAGAAACATGACTGTACCTTGCTTAAAGATCTAAAATGAAACTTTTATCCAGAATTTCATTTTGATATACTTACTCTGTCAACAAGTAGCTGACACTGACAGTGGTCTGCTTGGAAGGATCAGCAGCAAAGGAGTCTAAACCACATGTTACCCTGTGTTCTCTCTATAAAGTACAATAAATGATACATAATAAACTCACAGCAGAAGTTACAAACAAAAAGTAACTTGCATCTTCATAGCATCATCTTTCCAATTATTTAAAATAATTTCACAGATGCTCATAAATAAATTCACAATCCATGAGCAAATACACAAACACACATTATCTTGAAAAATGAGTGACATCTCAATGTTTAAAAGTGAACAATATAGGAGAGGTTGAAGAAAGTCTGGACATAACATTCTGGGCTATTTTTGAAAGAAATATTTACACTTCTGGACAAGCTAGTGAGGGAAAGGAGGAGGAGGGAGGAAGAGAACATGAAAATTATTTTTGACACCAATATTCGGAAGATTAGATACTATTAGAAAGCATTATTTCCTGACATCAAGAACCAGTATTTCTTTCATTAACCCTAAATGCTTTCCATTAATAAGTGCTTCAGTGTTTCAAATGACAAAGGACTTGAAAACTGGAAATAAGAAAAACAAACAACTGCAGGCAATCATTACATTACTGACACTCAAAAGTAACTATAGATTGCCCCCCATGTAACCAAAAATAAAAATACTTCAGCTCATTTACAGAATTCTAAACAAATTAGTAACTCCAGCAGATTAAAATATTAACCCTGGGGGGTTTTTGGCTTTAGTGGTGTTTGTTTGTTGGTTTTACTTACAGGCTTATCCCAGATTTTCTGTTTTGGGATGTCAGTATTTGATTCAATTCTTTCAAATTTTACCAATGCTTCCTCATGTATTTGCTTCAGATGTTGCTCCAGTGGAAAATTACCGTAAGTAAAAAATCTGCATTTCAAATAAAATACTGGGATTAAGCACTTGATTTAATATGAAATGTAGAGTAGCTACTTGTATTATACACTGAAATTCATGTGCTTTCCAGTAATTCTGTTACATCTGAAATGGAAAATAGTTTGGCAGGTCTTCAACCTATACAGTATTTATAAAACTCACAATCTCTCAATAAAAATCCATATTTCTCTTCTTGTCAGCTACAAAACACCATATTTATTTGCATTATGTTCAGTTTTATTATGTTCAAATTCATTCAGTTGCAGGAATATACAATGTTCCAGAAAAAAAAAAAATAGTAATTGAAGCCAGAAACCCAGTGCTTCTAAGTTTCAGAAAACAAAATTCTTATGGTCCTCACACTTTAAGTATAAAATACAATGATCCATGTCCTAGGTTTTGTCTGTCTATAGAACATGGCTGGATTCTATGGGTCACCCCACCAAACACATTCCAACTTCTAAAAGACTTCCACTGGACAAAACATGAGCACAAGCTGTGCCTCAGGTAGATCTCATCCCCTAACTAAAATCTCAACACCAGTACAGCAGAATACTTGGGATGATGAGAAAAATCAACAGATTGTAAATTCTCTGTCATGACACCAGCTGATGTTCCACAAGTGAATTCATCAAAATAACAGACTGGCCACAAAATTAGTACAGGAGAAATAATTATTTCCCTGCATGTAATTTTCAAATTGACTTCCAGCTTAAATACCTTATTAATATCAACCAAATCAGTACCTGAATCAAATGACTATCCATTATTTGGAACTCACTGCAGTAATATGTGATGCAGGAGAAAATTAAATCATTCATTTGTAACTTCTAACTCAATCCGTGTTACTTCAAGGAGGACAGGAACCCTTAGATTAATCTCTGCTATTTGTATCTTAACCCCCTGACATTATCACTAAGTACTTATTAGTATGCTCCCTTCCCCCACAGCTCATGAGTTCAGGTCAATCGATCCCCAAAACACATACACATGATCAGGCAAACAGACACATCTGAGAAAATCAGCCACCCTTCTTTCCTGCTTTCAATCCACACTTCACTGCTCTTTCTAGAAAAAAATCCTTGCTACCACACTGCTCTAACTGCTGTAGGGCACAGGCTATCTTTGTTGTTGGCCACGTGATTAAAAACACTGTGCTTCTGGTTTTCTCCTGACAAAAATACAAAGCACTAACCCAGTAACCTAAGGAGTTAGTCACCAATCCCACATACCTGGAATTGCTTGGATGATAATGTGTGGCATGGAACTGCTTAAGCTGCTCCCATGTAAGGTCAGGAATACATAATGGATCTCCACCAGAAATTACACTGTAAGTGTGATCAGGAAGGATTTTGTTCTGCAGGTGCTGTGCAAATATCCTCTCATTATCTGTCTTAATAGGAAAACACCACATTTCAGTGAAGGCCATCAAAACACATTTAAAAGACAGAAGGTGCTCAGTAATAAGACCTCCGAGCTCTAACTTAACACAACCTCCTCACACAGGCATGCAGTCCCATGTGCTTTAAGAAAATGAGTTAAGGTTCCATGCTGATGTAAGAGACTATTTTACAATAAAATCGATTAACAAAGTACCTTTCTATACATAAACAAGCTTTTGACAGGCTAACTTAAAAAAAAAAATCTATTCAAGAGTGTTGACTTTACTGAGGACTTACATTTTCAATGGGGTACAATAATACCATTGTTAAGCTACAGCTGAAACTACTTCACCATCTGCAAGAACTTAAACATCCACAAAACTTACAAATGCCCCTTTCATTTCATTAAAAACAACTCCTTTGAAGACTAGAGGTGTCTGAGGATCAGCTGGGTTCTCATGTTCTAACCTCCAACCTTCTTGCCTGCAAAATTAATAACAGCAAGTGTTGAGAGTTTGAAGACCTTGTTGATTGGGGGGGGGAGAGGGCACTTTTTTTTTAATTTAAGGTTTGCATACATCTCAAACTGTCTTACCAGAAATCTAGCTGACGCAAACATGGAAAGAAAGCTGCATCCAAGTACACTGACAGGAGGTTTTGAAAGTCCTTGGGATTTTGTGTTGAAAATGGATAGAGAGTGTAATCACTAGCTGCATATAAATAAAAGTAAAAATAATCAGAATTTTAGAAAGTCTAAGACACATTTTGCCATTATTGATTTTTAATTTCTCATGCATATAAATAAAAGGAAGAGAATAAATGTACTAAATGAAATGCATTTTTGCTGAGGAATACACATATTTAACATTGCAGATATTTTACCATGAAAACTTTACTTTAGCCATATATCCATATAAATAATTAAATGTATTTTTGTATACTATAAAGCTCCAGCTCTGCTGGGACTTTGTAACTGACAAGTGAACAAGACTTATTTTGTGTCTTGTCTTGTTAGATTTTAATACTTCACAACAATCACCCCCAATAATAATGGCTCTCCAAAGCCAAATTAAGGAGAGCCAACAGATAGCTCTACGGCAATAAAACCTCAAGCATTTTAAGTGACATTATTTCCTTTGTACTTACCTGTGAATGCATTCATAAAAGTGGACAGTGATCTGTTCAACATTTTAAAGAAGGGATCTCTGCAGGGATACTTTTGAGAACCACAGAGCACCGTGTGCTCCAGAATATGTGGGACCCCAGTGCTGTCCATCGGAGTGGTTCGGAATTGGATACTGCAAGAGAGAGCATGGAAGGTGTGGAGTCATGTGTGAGGAGAAGTGCAGCCACTCCTGCCTGCTCCTGTGATTTATGGGAGCATCACCACTGCCTAACAGCTAACGTGGCACACACCAGATGCAGAGTTTGACTTCTTCAGACTCCCAAGTGCTCAGCCATCTTTTTCAGAGCAAGCACAGCACTTCTATTTCTGGAGTTAGCATAGAAGTTTTCAACACAAGAGTAAACACATTTATTTTTATCCAAAAGGCTCAAATAAAAAATGTCATGGAAGGTTATGGTTGCATAATCTCAGTCTCTGAAAGTTTTCAAGGCAGGAACTGGACCCGAATTAAACACTGAACCTGTTTTGAGCAGCAGACTGAACAACAGACTTCATATCTGTTGCAACCTAAAAAATTCTAAGAAGCCCTACAAAGGAAGTACTGTCCTCCCTGTAATCACAGAATAATCCAGCCACGATGCCAGATTACAACTGAAAAAACACAAGGTGATGTGGAGATTGAATGTGTAATACCTACATTAATGTCTTACCTGAACAGATTATTGGAGTCCTCCCGAGCCACATGTAAATACCTGGCTCCTGTACCATCATGACTAAGCTTCACTGCAGTCAGGAACAGCTCAGGAACAGCTGTCACCTGCATTGGAAGAAAACATCTGTATTACAGTGTGACTTCAACTAGGGCAGATAAATTGTGCACAATATAGGAATTACAGTTTGTTTGTCTTATACATAATACTGGCTTATACAGTATTGAACAAATTTTTGCTCCTGTGGTTTGAGGGGAAAAATAATTACACAAATGAAAAATAAAATTTAAATGAAATTTTTAACCCAATGAAAGTATACTACCACCGAGGAACCATACTCTTATGGTACAGATAAAAATTCAATACGATATACAAAAAGAAGAGGCATAAAATATCAGTGGCTAGGGCAGATAGAAAAAGCAAGGACTCTGTTCTACCACTAGCTCTGTCACTAACAATCACTTCTCATAAATAACCTTTCCTCTCCACTCCCCCTTTTTGCCTTTGAAAAAGTAGAAGAAATTCAGCACATTTCCACAGCAGCTTTCCAACACAGGTATTAAAAACTTCTTAGGAAATAATATATTATTTGAACGTGTTTATCAAAACACATTCACACAGTGAAGCTCCGTTATCTGTCAGGACTCTAAGAAGGCCACACCGAATGGTCACATCTACAGCACACACACAGACTGGTGGGAGGCATAATTTACTCTAGAATTAGCTCCCCATAAGAATATATACTAATGGCACCTAAAGCATTTGTCTGCAGAGAAGTCACTACAAGGAAATCCTGAATCAAGTATTTAAAGTGCAGCCGCCGGGCCTCACTCAGTGCTTTCTAAGCGCGGGGAAGGTGATGTACCCACAGAGCGACCGCGGCTCACCTGCTGCACGGTGAAGCCGTGGATCTGCTCGCCCGGCCGGTACCGCAGCGCTCTCTCGTTCGCGGCCCCGCTCCTCCACCTGCACGCCCTGCGGCCCAGAGACCTGGAACGACACAATTCCCCCTGACAAACGCGCCCAGACCGGCCCCGGCCCGCCGCTCCAGCGCGGCGAGCCGGGCCCTGCGCCCGCCAGCGGCTCGGAGCTCCGCGCCCCTCGGCCGAGCGCCAGGGGCCGGG